CACACTAACAGTTTCCATTAATGTGCCGTTAAAAACTAACAATTTTCATTAATATACCGTTAAAATTGATATAAACAGTTAGTTTTAATAATAAAAATAATGAAAATAGTTAGTTTTAATAGTATAAGTAATAAAAATTGTTAATTTTAACGGCACATTAATAAAAACCGATGTCGGCACCGTATGGTAAACATCCAAAGCTCCGACACGGACGTAGTGTTGACACATATCTCAGGGGTTGACACTATACAAAAGGTTACTCCACTCATGTAATATGATGCCTTTCAAGTTATGATATTTATGAGTTTTGGGTACCCTTTGTACTCCGTTTATTAATAAATATTATTTTTTGCTGTTAAAAAAAAACATTAATAGAAACCGTCAATGTGTAACGAAGTGTTTAATTTTCGAAAATATATGTATCATTTCTCAATATATATATATATTAACACCTTAGTCTAGGCAAGATAAGCGAGCTACTTTAATTAGAAAATTTTCATTTGTGTAAAACTTAAAAACGAGATTTCACTGAATAAAAATATAAAAACTTTGATGAAACCAGCAACAAGTAATTTTCTCATTTGTTTTAAAGGAAAATGGCAATGAAAATGATGTCTTAGACATGGTTAATTTTTTCAGATGGAATACATTGATCTGGTCATATATATTAAATCAGAACCTTGTTGGGCTGCCTCACTCTGTGCGTACGCGTGTGTGTTTTTTTTTTCTCTACTTAATGTTCAAAGTAAATAACACTGCTGGGCAGAGCTCAGGGCCACAAATTAGGAAGAGGTAAATGGGCATTTATTGGTGAATTATACTCCCACATTGTTTTTATGAGTTATATGCTTGCTTCCAACCCTAGTCAGCGGACTTCTTAACTAATAGAAAATTGCACTTTATAAACCTATATTCATTTGGCTTCCCGATTGATAGAAAATTAATACTTCGAAGACCTCTATTTTTCATATTAACATATAGAAAAATTATGTTGAAATTTTATGTTAAGATCGATTCAAAATCTTTAAAGGCTTTTAAAATAATAAATTCTAATAACCAAGATATATCACGTAATTAGTACTCCCGTAATATAGTTAATTTTCTAGCATAAACAAACTCACTTCGAGTACACTACCTAACAAACCCCATTATATATCTAATGAAAAAAGGAAAAAATTCACAGATTCGAAGTTATAGCCTTGGAAGGCACAAATGACAAATAAAACACAAATATACACTCCCCGCATCTATTATTAAGGTAGAACATCTTAATAATATTTTGTAATTTGATTTCGTAATATATAAGAGGAAATTGGTAAAACAAACCGCTCACAGCGACTAGGATTGGAGAGAAGAAAATTGCCAATTTGCCAAGAGAGTGAAAGGATTAAGTATAAAGCCAGCGGCTTTAGTTATTAGCCCACCATGTTTGCACATCCCATTTCCAACCCCCAAAAACCCACCACCCTGAAACAACTCTCACCTCCTCCAATGGATCCGCCACCCCTCCCACCCCTTCCCACCACCGCCCTCGCTTCCACCACTCCCGCTACTGCGGCCGCCACCGCCGTTCCACCCGCCTCCTCTATGCAGCTTAACTACCCTGACTCCGTTGAGTCCTCACCGCGCTCCCGCATAGCCGATACATTTGATGAACCTCTGCCGCCTGTACCCGGTGCCAAGCTCCGCCTTATGTGTAGCTACGGCGGCCACATCATGCCCCGGCCGCACGATAAGGTGCTCTGTTATGTTGGCGGCGAGACACGCCTTGTGGTGGTGGACCGACACTCTTCGCTCTCGGTACTCTGCGCACGCCTTTCGAGGACCCTCCTCAACAGCCGCGCCTTCACGTTGAAGTACCAGCTTCCAAACGAGGACCTTGACTCTCTTGTAACCGTCACCACAGATGAGGACCTTGAAAACATGATTGAAGAATACGACCGCATTTCGGCGAGCTCGGCTTCTTCTGGACCGTCTCCTCGAATCCGGTTGTTCCTCTTTGTTAACAAGCCGGAAACGGCGGCGTCCATGGGGGCACTTTTAGCCGATGCCAAATCGGAGACATGGTTCGTCGATGCGCTTAATGGGTCGATGTTGCTTCCTCGTGGGATGTCTGATTCTGCTGCTATGGATTGCTTGCTGCATCTGGATAGTGATGTGGAGGCGCAAGGAGATGGCGGAGCAGATGGGGAGAACAAGCAGGCGAAGAACGATGCCGCGGCTGTCCACGATGTGCAGCATTCCATGCCCGACTCGCCTATGTTGGAGAACACTTCATCTTTCGGCTCCTCTTCTTCGACGCCGTCAATGGCGAACTTGCCGCCGATTCGGGTCCGGGTTGAAGAAGGCGGGTCGGCTAAAATACAGGACCATAGGGTTGGGAACGAGGAGCAGTTTGCGCAGATTAGTTTCCCCACCAATATGCATAAGCCAGGGGATGGGTTTGGGGCTCCAGCTGCTCTGCCTCCGCATCCTGCAGTGGTCGCTGCAAACGTAACGGTGGCACCAGTTGCCACGATTAATCCTGCGGGTGGGTCTAGTGAGAGCCTGAATCGGATGTTGTCTGATGACGAGAGGTCGGATCATGGGGTGCCCACCGGATTCCGCAAACCTCCATTGCCATTGCAGCCAGTACAACAAAAGGCCGGTGGAGCTTACAATTTGCCTTCCCCTGACTCAGTTGCAAGGTATTTCTCTTGCCACAACATATGCACATTTTGTATTCATAGGACTGTGCTTAGATTTTAAATTAAGTTCTTAATCTTGGTTAAATTTCACTGAAATAGAAGGGTTTATGGATGTTGTCGTTAGATTCTTGCATCAAATTCCAAAAATCATAACCAAGTTCTGAACTTTTGAAAAGGGGTTTGATTTCTTTCTCTTGCTTTTGCTATGGCGTGAAATAGTGATGCTTCTGCAATTTCCTTCTCGAAGCCCATGTACCATCAAGAGCAAGTTCATGTTGTTTCCAGTTCCAACAACAATGTAGATGCTTCGATTCCAAACTCACAAGTCCAAATTCAACAAGTCCAGGATTCAGGATATGCATTCCCTCCACATCCAGATCATCAGCAGCAGCAACAACAGCAGTCTCAGCAGCAATTTGTGCACACAAGCATGCATTACATCCCCCATCCTGCTCCGGTGCCAATGCCATCTTACTATCCGGTCTATGCTCCACCATCCCAGCAGCAGCATCCTCACCCAGTTGACCAACAGTACCCTCTATATGTCTTGCCTGTTGCTGCACAGCCACAGCCGTACATGAATATGCAATCTAACATACATGATGCTAGCATTGTGGCCTCAAGCCAGCCTCTGACAACTCCAAATCCTTTGATGGTTAATTCCTCTTCAACTCACAAAGATGCCATCCCTCCCATTTACCCCACAAAAGCTGCTCCTGCTACTACTGCTAAAACTGAGATGGCTGCACCTGTATACAGAGCAGCTGTGACATCAACACCAATGGTTCAAGTTCCCTCTAATCAGTTTCAGCAACAATATATGGGTTTCCCTCAACTGCATCATCCATCTCAGTCAATTGCAATTGCTCCTGCTACTACAGCTAACTATGGATACGAGTATGCAAATCCTACGCATGATCAGATGTATTACACACAGCATCAGGCTACTCCACTGCCTCCACAATACCAAACTATGACTCAAGCAGTAGCTGCAGCGGCATTGGTTGATGCTTCACAGCAGATACCTGCAGACAATACCAAGCCACAGTAAACTAGACAGAAAGCAACAATTTTGATGGAGTAAACATGAAGGTTGTGCCTTGATTGTCTCTTTCAATAATTGTTACATTTGTAATAGAGTTTACATTGCTGCACTAATCCTTACAGGCTGGATCTGGTCTTTTGATTCTTTCTTTCAAGTTCTTGTGTTTTTCATTGGAAATAAAGAAATGGTGGTCTATATTGCAGAAATACTTGCTCACTCTTGATTTGCTGAATTGATACATCAGTTTATATTTAACTACATGTTTCTAGGCAGTCAAATTAATTTTTTTTTTTTTTTTATGAGGATCTAATGCTCGGAACTTCAACCAGTAGCATGACCACGTGCACATATTACATGTACAGAGACGGATACTAATCAACAGATGTGGCAAGCACATTTTTCAGTCCAACTACAAAGATGAACTGTAATTTTGATGTTAAGCAAGACTGGAATTTAATGGGATGAAGTTTTGCAACTAAAATAGAGCAGATTAATCTGAGCCCTTAACCCCACATGCACACAGTGATGAAATCTAAGAATAAATCATGTGTAATGAGGATGTGTGACAAAAATTGAAAAACATTTACTTTGTAAGCACTATTTATCTCTAACAAGCTTGAAATTTTGTTAGTAGGAAATTCAAAATTTGTCTTTTAAAGTAAATTTTAAAAAAATTTTAAAAAAATTAAGCATCTAAACTTTTCAAAACTTATTTAAAATTCATTAAAAAATCTAATTTTATTTGTTTCCTTTTAATAAAATTTTAAATTTATATAAGAAAATAATACTTTTAAAATACATACTTTTTAAATTTTACCAAACACCTTCAATATCTAGCAGATATTTGGACATATTAAGTTTTTGACCTATGGATAACGAATTGAATGCCAAGGAATCTATAAACATGCAGCACCAGGAAACAAGCCATGGTTTTAGATATTTGGATCCAGTTAAACAGGCTATTTAAATATTCTGTTGCCTGACCATAGGGCTTCAGATTCAGACTAGTCACTCTGTGGTTTAGCTGGAAAAAAAATTGCAAAAAATCCGAGAGCCTGTGCTCTCATATATATATATAACTGATTCAGCAGAAGCAGGAAAATTAAGCAATACTGCATATGGTAACTTCATAACGTAAAATGAAGTGGGGAATTAGCTGTGCTGTACAGTAATGCAGGAAACCCAAAAAAACCAAAAAAAAAAAAAAAAATGCTGTACAGTCTGTAACCTGTATGCAATAATTTGGGATTAGAGATTTGGACTTGACTTGACCTCCATTCCCCTAAACACTAGAGCAAAGCCTCTCGTAATCACCTTGTTAGGTGCAAGCCATGGCTGATTAGGTGAGATCATCTATTAGTGGCCATTCTCTAGACATCACCACTCAAATAAATGCGTTTGTCAAACACTTGTGCCTTATCATTAATAGTTAATAAATATTATCTTATAAGTTTGGTTAAATTTTTAATTTAATCCCTTAATTATTATATAGACCTATAATTTGACCTCTAAACTAAAAAATCTTTAATTTAATCCCTTAAGTTTTTAAATTTAACCATAAGTTAGTACTTTCATATAAAAATAATTGACGTAAATTGATATGTCTCATTGTTAATATGACACTTAACATTTAAGTAATAATTTTTTTGTTGTTAAATAATGAATACATTAGTTATTTTTAATAGAAAAACCAACTTAGAATTAAATTTAAAAAATTTTAGAGACTAAATCAAAAATTTTTTTAACCTTAGGATCAAAGCAAAATTTGTACAATAATTGAAAAATCAAATTAAAGGTTTAACCTATGAGGGTGAGTTTAAAATTAAATTTGAAATTAATAATTACAAAATTAATTTTTTAAATGTATTATATTAATGTGAAAATATATCTTTAAAATAATAAAAAATTTAGCTTAATGCACCGAAGAATTAATAAAAAATATCTCAATCGTAAATATTTTTAAAAAAATTAGTAGATAGATATTCAATTGTGACAGGAATCTCAATCCATAGAAAAGTAAGGCCTAAGAAATCTCTGATATAAATTTTAGTATGTACCCCAGAAATGTAACGCAGATTTAGAATATCACGTCATAAATATCTCGTGATGCAGCTGAATTTCTCAGCAGCACCGAGGGAACATCAACTTCAACACATGGAATCTCTGCAACTTTCCACTCCTACTTTTTCCCCTTATATCCACTTCTGGAAGGAACCTAATTTTCCGCACCTGTCTGAAAAATGCCTACATCATATATCTAAAGAAAAAAAAAGAAAAGAAAATAAGTAACAGTATGTTTAATTTGTGCCGTTTAAAATTAAGAGTATTTTTTTATCAATAATTTAAATATTTTAATAATAAATTTTTTTAATTAAAAATAAAAAATTTTAAATTTAAATTACATAACATATAAGAATGTTGGGATCATGATGAAAAATAATTATCTTTTATTATATAATTAAGATAAAAAATAAATGAATAAAAATATTTTTTTGTTGTAAAAATATAAAAATACAAAAATTTACATTAATTTTAAAATAAGTATTTTAATTTAATTAAATAATTAATAAATTAAAAATTAATTTTTATTTTTATATAAATTTATAAAATATATATATATTTATTACCACTAAGAGTAAATAGTCAAATGAAAGTGGGAGTCAATTCATTGACAAAGGAATTCAGCAAACAAAATTCATCCTATTTGAAGACTGAAGAGAGAGGGAGAAACGGAAGCAAATATTTAGAGCCCAAAGTTGCTTTCAAAACAATTCCTGTCTTTCAACTCTCAAAGCATTCAATTCAAGAGTTTCTGCTATCAGGCATTTGAAAGTTGTGTTTAGATTTTGAGAAGAAACTCTGAAGCTCACCCATGAAAAGCACAGTGCTTTAATGGCTGCTAGCACCCTCTTTCTCTCATCCGCCCTTCCCAAGCCTTCATATTTTCTGTTCTACCCTTTTCATTCTCCCCCCTCTTCTCCTCTTTGCTTACCCCCACATTTGCGTTCTTACAAGTTCCGCAAGTTCAACTGCTGCCTCGCCGTCAAAAGTTCAAATGATGAAGCCACTAGCAGCGCCGGAACTGAAAATCGTGCTCCGGACAGCCTCCGGGTGGTATTCGCGGCAGGCGGCACGGGTGGGCATATTATTCCAGCGATTGCCATAGCGGACGAGCTCAAACTCACCAACCCCACCTCTAAAATTCTATTTATTGGCTGCCCCGACAGCATGGAGAGCGCCGGAATTTCTTCTGCGGGGTTCAACTTCTCTCCTATCCGAGCCGTTCAGTTAGTCCAGCCCTTTATATCCCCGCGGAACCTCTTCCTCCCCTACCGTCTGATTAAATCCATCTTCAAAAGCTACAAACTTTTGCAGGACTTTAAGCCCCATATTGTCATTGGCACTGGCGGGTATGTTTCTTTTCCTGTTTGCGTAGCCGCAGCCCTGATGAAGATCAAGGTCGTAATCCAAGAACAGAATTCTGTGCCGGGTATTGCGAATTGGATTCTTTCTTTCTTCGCTGATGTGGTGTTTGTGGCGTTTAATTCCACCATTGAGTGTTTTCCTAGAAAGGAAAAATGCTTGGTGTGTGGGAATCCGGTCAGGTTGTCCTTGAGGGGGTGTGTTCCAAAGGCGGAGGCTAGGCTTAATTTCTTTCCTAGGTTGAAAAAGATGGAGGACTCGGGCGGAGTGAAAGTGGTGTTGGTGCTTGGAGGATCTTTGGGGGCTAATGCTATTAATATTGCTTTGTTGAATTTGTACTACCAAATGCTGTTGGAGCACAAGAACTGGTTCATTATATGGCAAACAGGGGTTGAGTCATTCAATGAGATGGAGAGCCTTGTTAAGAACCACACGCAGCTACTTTTGACTCCGTAAGTTCCATTATCTGTATTAATAGACTGTTGCATTCCTCTTTCTTCTCAAGTATACAAGAAATATTGCCATTATTAGTTCTATTAGCATTCTTATTTCTAAAGCTGTCTATTTACTTGTAATATGCTCATAAGATATGATTAATTAGTTGTTATACAAATAAGCTACTGTCAACACTTGGATTTGCTAAGATTTTGCTGAAGGGTATATAGCTTGTGGAAAACCTTGAATTTTGATCAAAAGAATTGTTAGTTTTCTAGAATTAAATGGGAGTAAACTGAAATTTGATTCTTCACTTGGAAGAGAGGGCTATTGTGCCAAAGCTGTGAAGCCATGGGCTTGTAATATATCTTTGGTTGGATATCATCTCTGTGGTCATACTTCATGTGCTGCTAGTAAAGGGCATCTTGATACATATTTTGACATGTAAGATTGTGGTTCATGATGTTTGCAGTCAGATGTAACCAGCTCAGTCCAATGGATATGTTAGTGTTTTCTGGTATTCAGTGAAGCACATAGCTAATACCATGTTCTTCTATATGTCTTTTTATTATCCTCAAATCTGATGTAGCCTTAAAATTTTGCAGGTTTCTGCATTCCATGGATTTGGCATATGCAGCTGCAGACCTCATTGTCTCACGGGCCGGTGCAATGACATGTTCTGAGATCTTGGCCACAGGGAAACCTTCTATTCTGGTAGATTGAGAACCCTCTTTTTTTCATTTTCTTAATTTTTGTTTTCTGCTTTTAAACAGGCTTGTATTATCAGCAATCTTCTGTAAAATAACAAGTTGAAAACGAATAAGCTATGTCAGGTTAGCACATTAAACAATAGCCTTCTGATAGTGTTTGTTAGCTACCTAGGTCAATATGGTTGTTTTAATATTCAAATTGGTTTAGCATGCAACTGTGTCCTAATATGTCTTCCCCCTCCCAAATTATAGACTTGATTATTGAATTATTGACAAAGGGCATCGGTAGTTGAAGGCACTTCTCTGTTATGAGCATCAAAGTGTTCAGGAAATAAAGGGAAAGAGAATGCCACTTTCTTTTGCTGCTTTGGATAAAAGAGAATGGCACTTAGGTAGAGTTTACTTCAGATTGATGTAGTCTTCTCCTTTTAATGGTTGATTTGGTCTAATATGATGTGATTGTGCACATTGGCTATTCTGCCTATTAGAGACTACTCCACATGCCAAAACTATATTCTTGCTTTTTTCTCTTTTCTTTTTAATGTTCTCTATATTAATTGTTTCCTAGTTCTCTCCTACCTATTGCCATCATTACATATCCTAACAATAATATGTTTCTTTCTTTCCTTGGTAGATTCCATCACCAAATGCTGAAGAGGGACATCAGTTCAGAAATGCTTCTCTGATGGCAGATGTTGCGGGTTCAAGGGTTATAACTGAAGATGAGCTAGATTCAACAACACTTGGAACTGCTATTGAAGAACTTTTAGGTATGCCATATCCTTTTCTTACAATAGCTTTATTATTGTGATCAGAATCTTGAAATCTAGTATTTATGTGCTGTAGGATAATATGAAGTTAGATATTAAATTTACCCAGAGTTCAATGAATTATGAGGCTTTCATTTCAAGTGTTGTAGTTTTTATGCAGTGCAGTATTTCAATGCAGGATCCTATTTTTGATAAAATGTATACTTTGTTATGAAAATCTGACAGTGGGATGATGAAATTCCATTAGGACTCAACACTTAAAGAGGAACACTTTTGGCCCTAAATAAACTGGCAGATCATTATAAAATAATATCTGGATATCTTGGCATTTCTCTCCTTTGAAAAAACATATATCTATGTATATGTATATATATATATATATTTGGACTGAAAAATGCGACTTTTAATGGTCCATGTTAGACTTGGACCCAGGGTCGAATGTGGGACACCTGTATTTTTAAATTATTTGTAGTAGCTTTTCTTATAATTACAGAGATCCAAGAGTCATACACATTTACCTGATTCAAGTCTCAAGATGCCTGACAAGGTTTTTTCGGATAAAGTGAAGAGTCCAGGCCATGTAGTTAATGGATTTTATTGGATGGAAAGGAGGCAAGGAATTCAGGTGGCTGAAGCTAAATGATTTGGAATTAAGTCTTCTATTGGGTTGAGTTGAATTGAATCTAGATGATTATAAAATTGGTTCAGTGAAGCTAATGCCTTTTTCCATAAATTCTATGCTTCTCAAACACATTCAAAATTACTTTTCCGACAATCTTAAAACTAAGAGGCATGGTTAAGTTGATCATTTGCTGATAAGTTGAAATTTTGTAAGAATTTTTTGGTTCACTCTTTTCATGTAGGTTGCAATCAATAGTTTGAGATGAGAATCAAAATAAAAAGAAAAAATATTAGATAGCCTAGGGGATTGGTTATGTACATGGACCATTTCTGCATTTTCTGAAATTTATATTTTTACCTTTTCTATGTTATAACTGGCTCTGTTTTTCATATTATTACTTCTTTATTTTTCTGACTTGCCGCCTAAAATTCTTGCATGGTTCTAATTTGACTAACTGACCGAGCATATTTCTGTAAGGTGTAAATAGGATCAGTTCACATAAGGCTCTGTAGTCTGTATGTAATGACAAATTTTTTTTTTTTTCTCATTTTCATACAGAATATATAATTTTCCTGAGAAAGTTGCAAATATAGATATGCTTGAATTTTATCCTACCTTCTTTTATGTTGTTGCTTTGACAGGGAATGAGAGTTTGATGGCAGACATGTCTGAGAGAGCCCTAAAAGCTGCAAAACCTGATGCCTCTGCAGAGATAGCAAAACACATTATTTCTCTAGTCAACTAATAGCAGAAAAGGAGAAACAGCTATACAATCCATTGAGAATTTTTTTCCCCTTCATGTTAGATGAACCTGGCTCAAGGTAAAGCTTTCTGGCTAATAGCAGTATAGAACATCTTGTCTTCCTATATTCCACACAACTTTGTTGCATGTAGAGATTGAGTGCATGCACTAGTAGTCCACAGGGTTTGGACCACAGCCTTGAGCAGATTTCTCTGTTTTTCTTTCGAATCTTTTTGAAGTCGTCAACTCTTCTTCTTGCCAACAATCCATCCGCCTTTTGTTGTACGATTGATTAGTGAGCACTGAGTAGGAATAGCCGAAAATAATAGGTTCCTAGAATAATAGGAGACATGGAAGCCGCTACCTAAATTTATCTGTATGGTGAAATCACATCAACCCTATGGAGACCGGAACAGGAACAGCTGGATTGACAATGAATTTAATTGGCATCTCCTCTTGTTGGAATTTGCTTGTTTCTATACTAAGAGGATTAATTTGTAGGTTAATTTCTTCCTGCATTTGCTTTTTTCTGTTCTGAAGTTTGTTTCAGATTCTCCCTAGAAAACGAAATGGGAGAAACTGATTCTTCATGGATGATACCGTCAAGGAAAATGCTTTCTCTGATTGGTGGATTGGCTCAAAACAGGTTTCTCCCTCAAAGAGAAAGCTGAAGAGCATAATGGACGTGAGGATTGAGGGTCATTACTCACCCAAGGCAGCACGTCAGCATCAGACCTAGCTTTGACATGTCTGGAGCTAGTAGACTCTAATTAAGGAACGTCCTCTCACGAGAGGACTCTGAGGACGGCTCTGGCTGCGTCCCCATACTCGCCTCCTCCATAAGTGTTATAGTTAGCAGTTCATCCATGTCCAAAACTTTCTGGCACAAACTCACCGCCCTTCATCACCTACCCGTGCATTAAGTACCAAGGGTCACTATTATTTTGTATAGCAGTTTGAAACTTAGTGGTTTTGTCTAATTTTATGGTAGATTGGATAATTATTATCATTAATAATTAAAATATTCTTGTTCATTAGATGAAACCGAGAACTGCCCCTAAATGCTATCCATGACATTTCTATTGTGGTAAATTGTGATTTTGGGAACCTTTGATTGGGTAGCTGAGAGGTCAATTTTAGAATAAGTGCAAATTAGTTCAGTCTATTTAATGTAACTGTTAAAATTAAGTGAGTAGTAAGTAATGGATGGTAGATAATGGTAGCAAGTAGCATGTGGATTAACGAGTAGTAGATAATAATTAATGGCTACGAGTAATAGTTAATGGATAGCAAAAGTGGGTAGTAGATTATAAAAAATGGATTTTGATTGATATAATTATTTGGTTATACAATTATTAACAACTTTTGTGGGACGCTTAATGGCTGAGAAAGGTGTGTTTAAAAAGGGAAAAATATTTTATAGGTCGTTTTCCTTCTTTTTTTTTTTGGGAGGAGAGACATCTTTAAAAACTTATTTTTTAATTAATATTTTTTAAAAACTAACTGTTAGATTGAAAATTCTATTTATATAGAATATGCATATCAATTTTTAAATTGTTATAATAGGTCTAATTACTTCATTAATTATAAGGGATTTAATATCATTAAATATATGTCAATAAATAAAGTTTTTTTTATTAAAGTGTTATAAGTGTTAGAATGATATAAAAAATGACATACATGATTTATATAATTAAAAGTTTAAATCTAACAATTAATTTTTTTAAATATTAATTAAAAGGAGATATTTTATGTGTAATAAAGCAATGTTATTAGTTAAAGTTAATTCTTGAACAATAAATCTTGTCTAGATGGCCTCTTGCTCATAGATATAGGAGTAAGAATAGTGGATTTTGATTGATTAACACATCAAAAGAGATTGAAAATACACCACTCAAAGCTTGGGATCTTCAAAAGGCTTGGGATCTTCAAAAGGCTTTGGATGAAGTGTATGAGAAAGCAATCAAGTATCAAAATCTTTATAATGCTACTGCTGTAGTACTAGATGATTTAACGAAGCAATTTGGTAGCATATGGATGGAACAAGAAAAGCCTTCTAGTGACCAAAGTGGGCAAGTTATCTCACAAGTTGCACTTTCAACAAATATAACAATTTGAGATCTAACAAAGGCTAAAATTAAAGGAAGATTGAAGGAGGTTACGAGGATTCCTTTAGGAAATAAGTTTCTCAAGTTGAAGCACAAAAATGGTCATGAACTTGTGGTGTCTACCATGATAAAGGTCATGACATTACTTGTCCAATTGTTAAGGAAAGAGCCAAAGAATAAGCATCATATATGGATCCCCATTTTTCTTTTATTTTTTATACTTCAATTTATTTTTGCATTTCAATTTTTCTTGATCATGTTGGTAATGCTGTGCTTTTTTCATTTTTTAAAGAGCACCTATAACTGAAGCTACATGTTCACAATTGGGAGAAATATCTCATGACTCTATGCCACAAAAATGAGTTTTGACAAGGGGGCACTGATGATACCTTTTCTCTAAAAAATTTCTTCTAAAGTGATTTATTTTGCTGTGGTTATGGTGAATACTATAATTCCAAAACCAAATTGAATTTTGTGTATGCAAACTAGTACACTTGATGTGGTTTAAGCAAATAGTCAACATTTTATAAGGGCAACATATGTATAAGAAATTAGGCAATATTTTAGCAGCATTTTGGCGACACATGATAAATAATTTATGCTTTTGTCATTTCAATATTATATACCAATTTATCCTTCTGATAGCATGTGCAGAATATGGACAACCAATTTGTCCTAATAACATCTGTAGAATATGGACAACCAATTTGTCCTAATAACATCTGTAGAATATGGACAATCAATTTGTCTTTCTAATAGCATGTGCAGAATATGGACAATTTGTATTAGAGACTAAATCAAATTTTTATTTCAAAATAATTGTATTATATTAGCCATTTTGAAGAACAAGTAGAATATAGAAGTAAGACAAAGAAATGATGCCTACAACCAAACTATCAAAATTAACTCTACCATAGCGAAAATCAAGCTGCTAATACAAAATCTATTAGAAGAACTCATTTTCTCCTTTTCCCTAGTGCTTATTCATTTTTTCCTTGGCCAATTTATGTTTAATAGACTTCAATTGCACTTCAACTCTCCAATAGCATTAATCAAATTATAAAAAAAAAAAAAATATAGGATGAGTTGGATCTTCCATCCTTCTATATACAAATTCTCCATTTGTTATAATAGATCTCATCAAAACTTCCCTTTCCCTTTTATTAGAATGAACTCCCCTACAAAGTAGTTAACATCAAAAGACCCATATCTGATTCTACGAAAAAAAAAAATCCTCAAAGAAATCAAATTAAATTCAATTTAAAATAAAAGGCAACAAATATTAGAAAAAGATGTGCAATCAAGAAGAACAAACTAAGCCACAACAATATCCTCCTCAAGAGTAAAATGACATTGTACGAAACCCACCATAGGCCGCTTGTCCTCACCTTCACTTGCAAATCAAACCCTTACTGCTCTCTAATGTTGAAAAACCATGTTCTGGAGAGAAGAAGTCTTTGAGTGCTCAATGAGAAGATGAGCAATTGTGTTGGAGAAGAGGTGCTCAACAAATGACTTTCGAACATAGTTGCAAGGGGTTCCTTGTTGGATTTGAACATTGAAGAAAGGGTTTGGAGTGCGGAGAGATGAAGGGGAATGAGATATGGTGCGGGAATGAGAGGAGGCGCTCAACAAATGAGTTTTGAACATAGTTGTAAGGGTTCTTTGTTGGATTTGAATGCTAAAGAAAAGGGTTTGGAGTGTGAGGATATGAAGGGAAATGAGACCTAGTGTGAATAGAGCGAGAGGAATAAATGCTTTTTTAGATAAAACGAGGAACAACACTGTTTTTGAGGTGAGGATTATAATATTTTTTATAATTCATACTAAAAAAATAATCTTTTTGATAAATTTATTAAATATTTATTTTTTAATAATTTAAACAAAATTATTAATTACTATTCTAAATTATTATATTAAACGAGCTCTAATAAATAAACATGCAATCATTGAGAGTTTAAACTCACGACTTAAAGCTGCAACACCTCAATCTCGTGTGCATAATCAAATTTAACATGAGGCTATTCATCAGCTCACAACTTTCGGTCTCAAATTGGCGGAAAATAAATTCCAAGGATTTCATCAATTATTCAGTAAATATTATTTTATAAGAAAATTTTTAAATATCAAATTTAATATTAAATATTAAAAAAATTAATTTTAAATTAATATATATACACTTAAAATTATTTAAAAAATTAATTTCGAAATACAAAAATACCTTACAGCACGCCTAACTTTAAATACCAAAAAAGTTGGGAGATAGACATTAAGAACAGCCCATTACAATTTGGAATAGGAAGGTTACATCTATACGAAAAATGATTTAAAAATA